AGACTGAGGTGCAGGCTCTGGTCTTGGGCCGAGGAGTTCAGGATGCAGGCTCTAGCTGGTCACTGCTTATTTCGGGTGGCTCCTGGGTCCTGGTGCAGCGGGGCTAAGGCAGGCTCATCCCTGCCCTGGCTCTGCACCATTCCTGAAAGCAGCCAGCATGCCCAGCTGCAGCTTATGGGAGGGGCAGGTGGCTCTGCATGCTACTCCCTCCACACCCTCCGCCCCACGTCCCATTGGCCATGGTTCCCTGTCCCTAGCCAATGGGAGCTGTAGGGTTGGTGTCTACAGGCAAAAGCAGCATGTGGAGAGACCCCCCTCCCACCGGGGCCACAGGGATGTGCCAGTCACTTCCAGGAGCAGTACAGGGCCAGAGCAGGGGGCATCTGCCTTAGCCCCAATGCACTGCTGGACGGTTAGTGGCCAAGCTCCTGATTTGTTGTGGGAGGCTCCAGGAGATCTAACCTATTCCAGGAGACCCCTGGCCAGTGTCCTGCCCATGGATGGAGAACATTAGAGGGACTGAATTGCACCAATATCAAGGTAATGGGCAGAGGTGCCCCAGCAGTAGAAACCAAACATCTAGACAGAATACATTACTTTTAGATGACCACGACAGGGAAGGCATTTTAGAACTTCCTACTCAGAGAATTACATTTCCTAACCTATTCCAGGAGACCCCTGGCCAGTGTCCTGCCCATGGATGGAGAACATTAGAGGGACTGAATTGCACCAATATCAAGGTAATGGGCAGAGGTGCCCCAGCAGTAGAAACCAAACATCTAGACAGAATACATTACTTTTAGATGACCACGACAGGGAAGGCATTTTAGAACTTCCTACTCAGAGAATTACATTTCAGCATAAGAGAAATAAAGATGGTGAAATGCACAGATCAGTCCCAATCCTAAAACAACTCCCTTTGAAAGAAGTAACAACAGCAACACAATATGTGTTGGGTCAGGGAGTAGAAACCAAACATCTAGACAGAATACATTACTTTTAGATGACCACGACAGGGAAGGCATTTTAGAACTTCCTACTCAGAGAATTACATTTCAGCATAAGAGAAATAAAGATGGTGAAATGCACAGATCAGTCCCAATCCTAAAACAACTCCCTTTGAAAGAAGTAACAACAGCAACACAATATGTGTTGGGTCAGGGAGTGAGTAACAGTGTGTTTATCTCTCTCACGCACACTCTCACTCCCCCCCCCCCGCACCAAT